TGAGTTGAATGCCATTCACTCGTCAAATACATCATCGCAAACACAATCGGATTCAGATATAAATGACATTTCAATAAATGAAAGTGAACAACGATTCTGCAGATAATTTACAAAATAGGCTGAAATTGAATGAAATAGAGAAATGGTTTGATGAGGAGATGCCCGTCGTTTCAATAATCAATGAAATCAATACATACGACAAGTGTTTGAATGAAATAGAAATGAATTGTTTGGCAGAACTTCTGAATGCGACCCAAAAGATCAGGGATCCGGTCAGCAAAATAACATGTTTGGCCACTAAACATCCAGAGGTGCGACACACTATGGCAGTGAAATGGGAACAGGAGATCAGACGGCTTGCGCTGATGTGCAGACATTTGAGTGCATTCACCGGTATCTGCAATGAGGACCGGATGTCCCTCTTGAAGACCGGTTACCGCGAGATAATAGCTTTGCGTTCACTCATTGCTTATAATACTGATCATCGATACTGGGCTGTAGTTTTGGTATGATTTATAGATTGGTTGCAATTGAATACAACTATAATTAAACATTATTTAATGTCTTATTAGGATTCAAACAATACAACTATCCTTAAAATGGAAACATTTAAAATGATTGACGAAAATCTGTTTGAAATTCATAAGCAGTTCTTCACAAAATTTGGCGGCGAATGGGATTTTGATACAATTATTTTAGACCTGGTCAGTGATTATGATGATAACATATTTTATTAACATAGGTATGAATAATAATTTGTGAAATGCTTATGTAGTTGACAGCCATCGCACTGTTTACACCACATCGGCCCGACTGTAATATTAGGCACAAACATAATATTCTATTGATTCTTATTATATGTATTTATAAAAAAAACTTTGGTAATAACTGCCAAACATTCTAGCCTAGATGATTGATTACATTTTAAAAATAAATGAAATTTATTTAAAACATGCATAATCAACATGAAAATAGATAATAAATTTAACAAAAAATTTTGAAGTATTAATTGTATTAATATCTATGAAGTTGTTAGCAAAAACTTCAAACATCTTTTTAAAAATATACTTGTACAATTATAAAAATAAAATAATATTTAAATATTATAAATTATACGCTACTCAATTTACACATAATTTTATTTTTAATGTACTTGAATTTTGAGTTTAAAGGTTTTCTTTAATAAAACTTTTTATGTAAAACGCCATTTTATTTAGCAAACTGTCGTGTGTGTTAATTTATTACTAATGCATAAAGCTGTACGAATTATTTTTTCGGAAATCACAAAGTTTTTGAAATATCCTCTTGTCTAAAATTTTAAAAGAAAATAGTTATCAATATAAGTGTCTATTATTTAATAACAAGTTTTTAGATTTTCAATTACAAATAAGTGGTTAATGTTTAATGTAATACAATTTGTACCAATATTTGGCAAATTAATTAAATATTGAGTGTTTATTGTAAACCTTGATAAAGGTTTATATAAAGTCATCTATTTCTACTATATTAATGTATAAATATATGATTTATATTTTAAGTAATAGTAAAAAATATTATTATGAATACAAAATTTTGTGGTGTATGTGGTGACCAATCATCAGGTGAGATTTAATATAAAATATAGAAATAATTAAATAAAATAGTAAATTATTGATAGGCCTTAACTTCGGTGCCATAACCTGTGAATCGTGCCGAACCTTCTTTAGGAGGAGTGCCACCAGAGCTCAGGTATTATATAATATAAATAAAATAAAGTTAATAAGAAAATTGAATTTAAATATTTCATTACTAGGAATATGTGTGCTTTTTCAATAACAAGTGTATAGTAAACCAATTGACACGAAAATTCTGTAAAAAGTGTAGAATCGAGAAATGCTTTACAATGGGAATGAGAAAAGTATGTTATTTGTTGCTTATATAATATATATTATATTATATCTTATTGTTATAGTATTAAATAATTGGTAATTAAAAGTCTATATATTATATTAACATATTTTAAGGAAAACAAAAGACAAATCAAAACAAAAACCATTGATTGTTATTCAACTGATATTACGGATAGTAGTTATTCAAATCAATCAACAATTTTAAGTACATTTAATAACAATCAGACTGAAGTTGATCCGATGGCTTCTGTAATAAGAAATATTATATTTAATTTCAATGAGTTGGAGACAAATAAATTGAGACATTTATTCACATCAACCGCTTATATGAGAGATCCAGTCTTGAAGAAAACATCAAAAGCCGACACATATACCGATGCTTTCAATGTACTGCAAACGCGATCAGACATCAAATGCCGAAAAATTATACAAATGTGTAAAACTATGGCTCAATTCAAAGAGTTGTGTGAAGACGACAAAATCATTTTACTGAAGGCCTCGTGTCCTGAGATTATTTGCTTGCTTTCTGTACTCACCTTTAATTTTGAGGGTGAGTTCTGGACGGTTGCCATTGTATGTCACGTTTGAATGTTTTAAGTAATATGACAATAATATATTTAATTATAAATACTGTAGGACTCCGAGAATGGCGTTATGTTACCATTAAATGTATTAAAGTGGGAGAACTTGAACTTCTATGTCATACTCAAGCAGTTTATGATTACAATTAAAGGGGAATACGATTCCGATATGAGTCTCATTGATTTGGTATTTAAAGATTAAGTTAACAATGAAATGTTTGTTTCATTAAACAACACTTTATTTGTATAGTTAATGGCAATCATACTCTTTAATCCCAATCGACCCGATTTGAAACATAAAGAGATCATTAAGTGAGTTGTAGTCTACAACTTGTAGGCAATAGTAATGAATGTACTAGATTAATTTAATAATTATTTTTTCATAAATTTGTTTTAATAATAGACTCCAACAGAAGACTTACATGTATTTACTTCAACGCTATTTGGAGTTAAAACACAACTCTAAGAGTGAATCCGAGACCCGATTCTTGCGATTAATGAATTGTTTGAATGAATTATATTTTACGACCCATAATATGATTAGCACTGTTAGTGAGGCCCTAAATAATAATCCCAGGCCTGAATCCCTATACGCTGAGATAATTGCACGTTAAATATAAATACTGTATTTATAAATTTAACGTTAAAAATATATAACATAGGTGTAAGTAGGTTATACATTGTACCATACGTATACGGTACAATACAATACTTTATTTTTAGAAATTTTTTGTAAAATAAAAGGTATTTTCCATAACCTTCAGGAATACCTAAACCTTTAAGAAAGTGATTGATTATCGGATCCCTAATAGGGATATCACAAAGTTTTTCAAATCAAATATATGTATTTTTTAATGTACTTTCATATGAATATAAATTGTAATTAATATGAATAGACAATCAAATTCAATGTCTACACAAAAAGTGTGAAAAATGACATTTTTGAAAAGTGTTTTCATTTTGTATTTTAATAAAGGTGTTCAATGTTTTATTTTCAAATCAAATACATTTAATAAAATATTATACTTTATATTAATCTTTAGATACAATATTTTTCTAAATACATTTCAACAAATTAAATTTCATATTATAATAAATAATCTTAAATTAGTTATAGAAATTTGTTAATTCTCAATAAATAACAATAATAAACATTTAAATAATACAGTTTATGAGATGTTATTAGATTTCATGCCAATAGTTGACCAGGTTAATTAGTCCAAACTATCACTGTTTTTTGTCTCAAATTATATTTTTCGTATAATTCATGTAATATTATACCGAAATTTTAAACAGATTTTGTTAGTTTATGTTGAAAATGACGACAGTTTTATTTAATTAAAATAATAAAATATGTAATACTGTACATGATAAACAGGGTGAATGGTTCTTTTATTAGCTTATTTCCGGTATTTGTAATATGTTTAACAACCTGTAGGCCAACACCCGTTCAGTTAATAAACGGAGTGTTCAGTGGAGTGGTTGTAGCCATCGATGAGGACGTCCAACAAAATGATCAATTAATCGCTAATTTGCAAGAATTTTGCTAATTTTCATTGCTTTTCCTTTCTATCGAACCCATGGATGCCATGGAATCAGTGGAACCGTTAACACATGACTTCACTCGAGCCGAAGAAAGCGGTCCTTTCGATCTCAAGAACTATGGCCTAAGTGTTGATTATATGCCTCCGGGAAGAGTGGTTGTGGTGTGTGGTTGTCATCATTGACGCTAATCACCTGTAAATCAGTGACTCTTCCCGGAGGCATATAATCACATCCGACTCCCAGTGGATGGCTCCGGCAGACGACGGGTTCACGGGTTTTGTCGATTCAATAATTGTTTAGAAATTTTTTAATTAAATTATAATTAAAACCATTTGAAGGAAAATCAATAAAAGTTGATTTAAGTGTCTCTTTGACTCGGAAGACACTCTATAGACCGGAACTGTTTGACACAAATGAGGTCATCTCAGGCCAGATGTTAGTGAATGGAGACCTGGAGTCCAGAGACGGTCACTCCATAATGAGGGCCAGAATCCCTGTCCTTACAAAACTCGTGAAGTGCACGACTGGATCACAAATTAGAGTTTATTTGGCGTTAAGAGCATCCGATGTCTCCAATAATAAAACATCGGATGTCTTAAACCACTCTGTGATGACATTCCTCTGCTGAACATCACATTGAGCCTCAGAGTAGAGTCTGAGGACTTCCAACGGAACGGTGTATCGCTTGGAGAGACCGATGCTGACGACCGGACACTTTGTGCTCCCATTGGCCGCCGAAGGTATCACTTCAAGTGAATCATTATTTATAGAAATGAATTAATAGTTATTTTTATGACAATTAATGCATTGAAAGGCAAATGGGATGAAAGGCTTGAAAGGCAGACCTGATGGTCACCACAAGGCCCAAGTGAACGGCCCATAGATGTGGGCCCCGGGTGTCCACACAATCCTTAATAGTTATGGCAATTAATATTGTGACACAATTACTATATTCTATAGAAAATTACTTGTTATTATTCACAAATATTGTACATTATAAATAACACTAACAAGTAAGTCTTAAAACTTAAAAATAATAATTTTTATTATTAAAAGTAATAAGTATTAAGTTTATATAGTATCTATAATTCAACTAAAATCTTACTCCCCCCTTAATGTGTATGAAATTATATTATCATTACATTTGTAATACATTTGTAATAATCAATAAATATAAGAATTTATTTAATTAACAGTTATCCAGTGACAAACTACAAAACGTTTATAAGTATACAGTATTAATTATGGTAAATTGTCTTGGTTGTATAACACATGTGTATTATTTTATGTATTATATAATAATATTATTAACTAATTAAAATAATATAAATACAGTACAAATTATCGTGACCATTTTTGAAAAAAATAATTTTTAAATTATAAACTAAAATTATTTTACATAAATCAATTTATTGAGATCACATTATAAAAAATATTATTTCGATACTAATATTCCTGATTTTATATAACATGTTGTAAAAATGTGCTATGTAATAATAATAATTCTAGTAAAATAATAATTATATTTACTTGTTTGAAAATGTAGGTAACTCTTCGATAAATTTTTCAAAATAACATTTTTATTATACACAGTACTGTATATACTGTAGTAATTTCAGAACTATTTGTAAATAGTTTAGTATAGATATTATTTTACTCAACGTTGTAACCCATTATAATGCAATAACTAGAATAATATTACATACTTTAATTTTCTAATAAAATGTAAAATCTTACAACATAAGTTATGTTGCATAACAAGAATTTCATAATGAATTTATTCCCCACCAGTTTGCACTGAATTTTGCAGATTTGGAACAATATTTACCAACAGCACCATTAGTTCCTATAAGACAGTACGTATTGAAATTATGTGTCTACATAAATAACATTATTAAAATCATCATGAAGTATTATATACCATATATTTTTATCAATTTACATTCTATGTTTGGATTTATATGTAATAATCTAAAGTAATATTATAAAATTTAATCTAGTTATTTGTTCTGAGTTTATTTGTACCCAAAAATTGACTGTACAACAATAATTTTGATACCATATTGGTATATCGTAAAGTATTATATAGAGTTTAAAATGAAATAGTAGTGATAAAAATGCCCAAAAAAGGTGTCCAGAGTTTGATATGCTGTGTTTGCGGTGATAAGGCTATCGGTCAGTATATTTAATTTCTAACAAACTAATGAAAAAGTAACATGAAAATTTAATTTGTTTAAATTAATGCTAGCTTTTAATTTTGGCGTTCAATCGTGTGAATCGTGTAAAGCATTCTTTAGGAGAAATGCGTTCAGAGATCATGTAAATAACAAACATATTTTAAATTATCATAAATGTCTTTTTTTAAAGCTTCATTTGAATAATGCCTTATTATTACCAGACATTTAGCTGTTATTTTGATAACAAATGTGAAGTCGATGTCATAAGGCGACGATTCTGCCGCAAATGCCGGTTAAGGAAATGCTTTGAAGTCGGAATGAATACTGTATTTATTATAATGAGTTTGTATGTAGTTTATAAATATTGAAACAAATTATTTACTGATCATTGAAGGCATACATCTTTTCTGACGAACAAAAAAACAAACGAAAGGCTATTGTCGAAGAAAATCGGCGTAAAAGTAAAGTTAATAATGAGTTGAATGCCATTCACTCGTCCAACACATCATCGCAAACACAATCGGATTCATCACTCAATGATACAAACAATGTCTCAATGATTGTTGAAAATTATGTGAACACAGACTCTGTGGATAAATCACAAAATATATTAAGTTTTAATGACATAGAGATTGAGGAGTCATATGATGAGGACTTTCCAATGATTCCTATAGCTAACCAAATCACTACTTATGACAAGAATTTAAATCAAATAGAAATGAATCGTTTGGCGGAACTGTTAAACGCGACCCAAAAAATCAGAGATCCGGTCAGCAAAGTAACATCAGAGGCCACAGTATATCCAGAAGTACGACAAACTTTTGCTATTAAAGGGGAACAGGAGATCAAACGTTTTGCACTGATGTGCAGACATTTGAGTGCATTCACCGGTATCTGCGATGAGGACAAGATCTCCCTTTTGAAAGCCGGTTGCGTTGAGATCGTACCGATGCGGTCACTCATTGCTTATAATAATGAGCGTCAATATTGGGCTATAGTTTTGGTGAGATTTCGTAAATATCTAGCGAATATCTATTTCAATGTTTTGTTTGACATCATAATAGGATTCAAATAATACAACTATAATTACGTTGGAATCGTTGAAAAAGTGTAACCAAAATGTGTATGAAATCAATAAGAATTTCTTCACTAAATTCGGTGGTGAATGGGATTTCGATTCAATCATTTTAGACCTGGTAGTTAATGGACATATTTTGTATGTTATTTATATGTTTCATAATAATTGTTACATGTCTATTTAGCTGACTGCCGTGGCATTGTTCACACCGGATCGGCCCAATATTATACACAAAAATGTGGTTAAGTAAGTTCATTTTAAATCACATTGTTAACTTTTCATTTAATCAATCTATTATACCTATTAATTGTTAAATGTTTGCATTTGATAGGCTTCAACAGCAAATGTATATCCATTTACTTCGACGATATTTAAGACTCAAATATAGCGATACATAAATGAATGCAAAGTTTGCGACATTAATGAAATGTTTGAGAGAATTGAAGTATTTTTCTGGTTACCGAAAATCTATACATCAAAGTCCGGATAATGGGACTCCTCTTATAAATGAAGTCTATGATTTATATCCAGATAGAATATTACAAAATTGAATGTATTATTTTAAACAAATCTATACATATTTATAATCAATTGTTATTATTTATCACAATGTTTATTATAATGATTTTTATATAAATACAAATGTTATTTTAAATCAAGTAAAGGTGCTATACACAGAACAGTATTTTTAATGAATTCTTAGTTTATTAATTGATAGTTAATTATTAAATAAAATTAGTAAATTTAAGTTTTTGCTACAAAATATGAATGAATATTTAACAATATTTTAAGTTTGGTAAATGTAGCAAATATTTTTACCTTATTAATAGAAATCAATTAAGTTATCTTATTTTATACATTAGTTACTAATGATTAGTATGATCTTAAAAGCAATAATTTCTATTAAAGTTGAATAATTTAATAATTAATCAATAATATCGCTTGATAAGTTACTTATAGAATTTATTTTCGACATTTAATTTAGCAATCATATATTAAAAATGAACTTTCTCATGATTTTTAAAATTTCCAAAATAAAGTATTGCTCATATTTATGAGTAATTCTGTGAAACATATGAGTGTACTGTAGTCTATATCTTATAAAATTATCAGTTAATTAATTCTTAAAATATACTAGCATTTCATAATACAGTAAGTTTATTCTCCATTAGTTTGCACTGAATTTTGCACTAAACTGTGTTACATATGATTGTTTTGTTAATCAAGGATATTCTGTGTTGAATCAAAATGAAATTTTCAATGCTTAAGGAATGTGTGCTATTATTCGCACACAAATTAAATATTTGATAAATTTATAAATTAAAATTCAATTATATCTATATTGGTCGCTACGATCTAAATTGTGTTCATAGCTTAAATTCATCTAATATTTTTTAAATAATAAAGTTTTATATACAGTACTATAAGTTAGTTATCATTGCTATAAATGCCGAAAATAGGTGTCCAGCGTTTGATTTGCAGTGTTTGCGGTGATAAGGCTATCGGTGAGTATATGAGAATCGGAGTTTTATAGTAGCCTTTTACAAAAATCTATATGAATATCTTAGATAATATCTGTATTAGATAATATTATATTAATCACATGTAAATACATAGAAATGAATAGAGTATTTATCATAGTTTAATATGTGATTAAATGAATATTGTTTTGAAAGGCTACTATAAAACTCCGATTCTCATATTATCAAAACTTGTTAATAATTTACATGAAATTCAATTAACATTAATTACAATAAAGCATATAATTTTGGTATACAATCGTGTGAGCCGTGTAAAGTGTTTTTTCGGAGAAATGCTTTCAGAGAAAATGTAAATAAATATAAAAACTTTTTAAATTATTTAATAATAATCTTATAAAATAAAAATAAATATTAATTATGACCAGGCATTTGTGTGTGATTTTGGTGGTAAATGTGTAATCGATGTCATAAGGCGACGATTCTGTCGTAAATGCCGATTAATGAAGTGTTTTGCCGTCGGAATGAATAAAGTATTATATATTTTTAATGACTTATAAATTATTACTAAATAAATATAACGATCACTGAAGGCATACATGTTTTCTGACGAAAGACGCAAACGAAAGGCTATTGTCGAAGAAAATCGGCGTAAAAGTAAAGTCAATAATGAGTTGAATGCTATTCACTCGTCCAACACATCATCGCAAACACAATCGGATTCATCACTCAATGATACAAACAATGTCTCAATGATTGTTGAAAATGATGTGAATTCAGATTCTGTGGAAAAATCACAAAATGTATTAAGTTTTGATGACATAGAGATTGAGGAGTCATATGATGAGGACTTTCCAATGATTCCTATCGCTAACCAAATCACTACTTATGACAAGAATTTAAATCAAATAGAAATGAATCGTTTGGAAGAACTGCTAACACAATCGGATTCATCACTCAATGATACAAACAATGTCTCAATGATTGTTGAAAATGATGTGAACACAGATTCGGCGAACAATTCACAAAATATATTGGATTTGAATGACATAGAGATTGAAAACTCATTTGCTGAAAACGTTCCTATGATTCCTATTTCTAATCAAATCAATACATACGACAAGAATTTAAATCACATAGAAATGAATCGTTTGGAAGAACTGCTAACCGCTACCAAACAAATAAGGGAACCGATCAGCAAAATAACATCCGAGTCAGTGGATTATCCAGATGTACGATATACGATGCATACGAAACGGGAACGGGATGTCAGCCGACTTACATTGATGTCCGAACATTTAAGTTCATTCACCGGTATCTGCGATGAGGACCGGATGTTTCTCCTGAAGGCCGGTTACCGCGAGATATTACACATGCGTTCACTCGTTGTCTATAATAATGATCGTCAACATTGGGCTATAGTTTTGGTGAGATTTATAAAGATTAACTCAATAATATTTGTAACATTTATTTAATTATTATAATTAGGACTCAAATAACACAACAGTCCTAAAGGTGACAACATTGAAGATGTTTGGCCACGATTTCTATGAACTCTACAAAAAGTTTTTCAATAAATATTGTCGCGAATGGGACTTTGACTCAATTATATTAGACCTGGTAATTTAAATATTTGTAAAATATTTGTATTTATAAATTTGTAAAATTCATATGTAGTTGACAGTCATCGTACTGTACACACCGGATCGGCCCAATATTATGCACAAACATGCGGTTAAGTAAGTCTTAATTCTGACTGACATTGCTAATTTAAATATAATTTATTGTTAAATGTTTGCATTGATAGACTTCAACAGCAAATGTATTTACATTTACTCCGACGATATTTAAGACTCAAATATTCAGAATCAGAAATGAATATAAAGTTTTCGACATTAATGACATGTTTGAAAGAATTGAAGTATTTTCCAGGTTATAATAGGATGTTACTTGATACCCGAGCAATTTCCAATAATTTTATATCTTAAATATTTGATAAACAAGTACAAAGTATATCTAAAAAGTAATACAGTACCTGTAATAATTTGAATGTTTTAAGTTTTAGTTTATATTGTAGCATAATAATATATTGTAATAAATTTTTGTATTTCAAGTGTTTATAATAATGTATTTTAATAAAAGTATTTTTTAAATTAAAGACTTATTATCAAAATTCTATACTAATACACAACTATTAATAAATGATAATGTAATTTTCAATTAATTTTCTTCATATGAATTTAATTCTTAAATATATTTATTTCTATTTGTATTATGAATAAAAATTATCGTTATAAAATTAATTAAGCATTGAAATAACAAAATATTGTTTTAAAATTCACAATAATGAGAAAACATGAGTTATCAAAATATTTATAATCATATCAATGCATCGAAATTACTAATACTTGTACTATATTTCTTATGCAAATACTGTTTAGGGCTCTGGTGTATACCCCACAACTGTAATATTATATGTATTTTATAATTAATTATGTTTAATATTATTAAAATTAATTGCAATACTTTTTTATTTACAAATCTAAACATCATTTAATTTATCCGCTATTGAAGGGAATGATAACATGTTGTCATGAATGCATCAAATTCTGGTTTTGGGTTAACCTTGAGATAACATATTCATACATTTGGTTTACAAACCAGATTTTGCAGTTAATATGGCTTGTTTATATTTGAGCTTGTCAGTCAACAAAAAATTACAATACTGATTGAAAATTATAATTTTTGTGTTATATTGTATTTCATTTTAATTGTTGACTATATTATTTTGACATTGTTTACAAACATTAAAGTATAAATATGACAAAAGTGAAAAACTCACCTAAAATCTGTGGTGTTTGCGGTGATAAAGCCCTAGGTATGTATTTATAACCAAAATACAGTACATTTATAATTATTATATTATAATTAATACCGTATTATATGTGGTTTATATAAAAGGTAGAAATTTTTGTGCCGTTTCTTGTGAGTCGTGTAAAGCATTCTTCAGGAGAAATGCCTCCGAGTATGAGGTAATCCATGAATTCATTCATTTAGTAGTTATAACTTATAAATAAAACTTAAATCCTTTTATGTGTACAGAGAATGAGGTGTCATTTTGGAGACAATTGTCTCATAGATATTGAGTCGAGAAGTAATTGTCGCAAATGTAGACTCAAAAAATGTTTTGCTATTGGGATGAGAAAAGTATTGATAAATTATGTTTTTATTATTTATTAAGAGTAAAACTTTTTGATTTAATAGGAATGGATACTCAATGACGAGGAAAAGGAGATTAGAAAACGTAAAATACAAGACAACAGACAAAAGAAATGTAATAAAATAGTTGACAAATTGGATGACAACTCTTCATCATCGCAATCAATGGTGACCACAGATCATGAAGTGTCGGATAATTTGTTTGAAATTTTAGATAACGTTGACATAAATGAAGATAAACTTAACTCTCAAATAAAGGAGATTGAAAATAGTTTGTCAAACGATTCCTATAGTAATGAAATGTCTACTGAATTACAAGTGATTCCTATTGTGAGACCCATTAATAACAATGCATTCAATGAGACCGAAAGTATGAGGTTTACGGAATTAATGGGTGTACTCGACTTTATAAGGTTTCCCAAGCTTACAATCACATCACAAGTACAAGATTTATTTGATGCCATGAAAATGGCTGTCAATAAGTTTGATGAGATCTGTAGGAAATCAGTGAAAGGATTCAAAAGACTGAATGCATTCAAGACTTTGTGCAAAAATGACCAAATATTGCTACTTAAGTCCAATGGCTCTCAACTGACAGCTTTGCGCTCAATGACTATTTATGATTATCAATATAAACAATGGGTTGTTCCGATTGTATGCTTTCATTAATAACAGTTATGTGTTTTAAATTTTTAAATATTAAAAATCAATTTTGTATTATATAGGATGACAACAATTCAACTCTAATGCATTTAAAAGTATTTAAAAATAATAACATGGACGTATATTCTCCAATAAAGATTTTATGTGAAATGTCTAAGGATATGGACTCCGATGAAACACTCATAGATTTGGTATACAATTATATTTTACTATATTAATTTTAGTAAACATTTAAATAATATTATTGAATACGTTAACAATTTATTAATGTGTCCAGCTCACTGCGATTGTATTATTTACTCCAAATCATCCAAATCTAATACATAAAGAAGTTATAAAGTAAGTTGACACTACTCTGATTAATATTATTATATAAACAATTAATTTCATGTTTATTATGTTTATATTATAGATACCAACAAAAGGTTTACATGTTTTTACTCCTAAGATATTTGCAGTTAAAATGTGGATGTGAAGCGGACACTATATTTAAAAGGATTATACATGCTAAACGTTATGCTGATATTCTCAATAGGAAAGTAATACTCAAATTTTTGGACGCATTACCACACGATATAAGTCCTCTGTTTAATGAGATGTTTGATAGGGTTTAGAAATATGCTATTTATTTGCAGATACTGTAATTATATACTGTATGCTTTTTGAAATTTTAATATTACTGTTAATTGTACATACATTTAAAAATAATAAAATTAATTATATACTGAATTAACGAGTAAGAATGATTTATCAACCGAATATTAATATACATATCAATTACACTTCAATATAAAAATAGTGTTCACATTCAAGTACTAAAGTACTAAAATATTTCAATGAGATAAAAAGTATTTTGTATACTATATTAAGTTTAAACAATATCTCAACATGTTCAGTTATCATTAATGAAGAGTATAATTGTTGTAGTAATCAATGAATCGGATTCCGGTTTGTATTAGCCTTGAGATAAGATAATCAAGCATTGGGTTGAATACATCATTTTATACTATTATTAAATATAACAACTATTGCCTCACTTAACAGTTGTTGATGGTTAATTTGTTCACAAACAACAAAATTTGATATATTTCATGTTAATATAAATATGTACATGATATGTACTACATGTCCTATTTAGAGTAGAGTTTAATAATTGTATATTAATAATTATATTTACAATAAATAAAATATTAACATGACAAAAGTGAAAAAACAATACAAAATTTGTGGCGTTTGCGGTGATAAAGCACTCGGTATGTGTTTGTAACTAAATATCTTACAAATTATTATAAAAATAAATATTTTGTGGTTCATATTAAAGGTAGAAATTTTTGTGCCGTTTCGTGCGAGTCTTGTAAAGCATTCTTCCGGAGAAATGCCACTTATTATCATGTAATCCGTGTATTCATTCATATATTTATATAACTATACTAAAATAAAAAATGTATTTGTACAGGAAATGGCCTGTTTTTATGAAGACAATTGTTTGATTGATATCGAGTCGCGAAGTATGTGTCGAAAATGTAGACTTGCAAAGTGTTTCAATATTGGCATGAAAAAAGTAATAAACTTCATAATATGCTTATTATTAATACTGTAGTAAATAATATGCTTTCATAGGAATCGGTACTCAATGACGAGGAAAAGGAGATTAGAAAACGTAAAATACAAGAAAATAGACTAAAGAAAAACAGGAGTAAAACAATTGACAAATTGGATGACAACTCTTCATCATCACAACCATTGGTCACTACAGATCATAAAGTGTCGGATAATTCATTTGAGATTTTGGAAAATAATAACATAAATGTGGATGAACTAAATCCACAAATAAGGGATTTTGAAAATAGTTTGTCAAACGATTCCTATAGTAATGAAATGTCTACTGAACAACAAGTGATTCCTATCGTGAGACCCATTAATAACAATGCATTCAATGAGACCGAAAGTATGCGGTTTACGGAATTGATGAGTGTAATCGACTTTATAAGGTTTCCCAAGCTTTCATCCACATCACAAATACAGCATTTATTAGATGCCATCACAATAACAGTCAATATGTTTGATGAAGTTTGTAGGAAATCAGTGAAAGGATTCAAAAGAATGAATGCATTCAAGACTTTGTGCATAAATGACCAAATATTGCTACTTAAGTCCAATACCATTCAAATGACATGTTTGCGTACAATGACCATTTATAACACTCAATATAAACAATGGGTTGTTCCTATGGTATGATTTATGAATAATGAGTATATTTACAAAATACTACATTAATATTATATTTATTTTGTTCAGGGTGACAACAAATCAGGTCTAATAAATTTGGAAGCATTTAAATCTAATGAAATATATACTCCACTTAACATGTTATGTAAAATGGGAAATGAATTGGACTCCGATGAGACACTCATTGATTTGGTATAAAATGAAATTATTATATAAGTTAATTTAATTAAATAACATTTACACATATATTTGTGTAGATGACAGCCATTTTATTGTTTACCCCGGATCATCCAAATCTGAATTATAAAGATGTTATTAAGTAAGTGAATAACACTTTGAGTCATTACATTATGTAATTAAATATTTAATGTATTTATCCGTATATTATTTATAGACAGCAGCAAAAGGTTTACATGTTTTTACTCTTAAGGTATCTGCGAATGAGATATGGATGTGAAGCGGACTCTAAATTTGCACGACTTATGCAACTTAGAAATTATGCCAAAATTCTCGATAACAAAGTAATGCTAAAATTTTTGGACGCATTACCACACGATATAAGTCCCCTATTTAATGAAATATTTGATAGAGTTTAGAAATATTCAACATGTCACCTACGTACAATTACCAATAATGAAATGACAGAAAAATGAGCTTATAAAACTCACGAACTACGTTAGGATTGTTATTGTTATTGTTACATGTATTTTTCTATTATTTTCTTTAAATTGAATTTATTTATTAAATATGTTTTTATTCTATCATTAAATAATTTAATTAATTAAACATTGAATTTTAAATTAGCAAACTATTCTGTTAAGCTATCATGTAATATTGACAAATATATCATCAGAATATTAATATGGAATTCCATTGATCAGGTGCATAATTTATACATTAGTGCATAATGTATAAAAGTAATTGTTTTAAAGTACATTACGGTTATTGAAGAATAATTGTTATTAAAAGTTGTTATCAATTGCATTACATTATGGTGTGAATAAGCCTTGAGAATCAAGTGGAGATAACATATTCATACTTTTGGTTTCTAACAAACTGATTGTGCTCAAATGTCATTACGGCATTAATCTGGTGTTTACACTTAACTATATCACAAACAAAAATAACTATTACCAAGTTTAATATTTTATGTTATGAAATATATAAATCATATCTTGATATTACCTTATACTATTGTATACACTAAGCAGTATTAGAAGTTAGCTATTAACATGCCAAAAGTAGAAAAGCTACACAAAATCTGCGGGGTTTGTGGTGATAAAGCTCTCGGTATGTATTTATAGCTATTATTAATATATTTAACAAATATTATGTGGTATATATTTAGGGAGAAATTTTTGTGCCCTTTCTTGTGAGTCGTGTAAAGCATTCTTCAGGAGAAATGCATCCAATTATCAGGTAATCCATGTATTCACTCATTGACCAGAAATTAAATTTAAATCATTTTATTTGAACAGAAAATAAAGTGCTATTACGGAGACAACTGTCTGATTGATATCGAATTGAGAAGTATTTGTCGCAAATGCAGACTTAAAAAGTGTTTTGCTATTGGGATGAGACAAGTAATGAATATTAAATGCTTTATCAATAATAATAATATTGTATTATTCTATAGGAATGGATACTCAATGACGAGCAAAAGGAGATTAGAAAAAGGAAAATACAATACAATAAACAACAGAATAATATTAATAAAACTATTGGAAAATTAGATGACAAGCCTTCATCATCACAACCTATGGTGACCACAGATAATGAAGTGTCGGATAATTTCATTGAGATTTTGGAAAACACTGATATAAATGAAGACAAACTCAATTCACAAATAAGAGACATTGAAAATAGTTTGTCAACCAATTCCTATAGTAATGAATTGTCTACTGAATTATCTGTAATTCCTATCATGAGACCAATTAATAACAATACGTTTAATGAAATGGAAAGTATGAGGTTTATGGAGTTAGTGAGTGTACTCAACACCATAAGGTTCCCCACATTTACTATTACATCACAAGTGCATAATTTCATGGATGGCATTAGACTAGTGGTCAACAAATATGATGAGATTTGTAGGAAATCGGTGAAAGTGTTCAAAAGATTGCATGCTTTCAAGAATATGTGCAAAAATGATCAAATACTGCTACTTAAATACAATGCCATTCAAATGACAGCCCTGCGATCACTGACAATGTATGACAATCAATATAAACAATGGGCTGTTCCTATGGTAAGTGCCGTAATATTTTTAATAAGACGTATAGTAGATGTCGATATACATGTATTTAATATGTACAGGACAACAATACTTCAACGCTTGTTAATATAAAAGTATTTAAGAATAGTAACATGGACATATATATTCCAATTAAAATATTATGTGAAATGATAAATGAATTGGACTCCGATGAGGCACTAATTGATTTGGTATACAATAGAATATATTAATTTCATAAAACCATACTTATATTTAGTTCATGTGTACAGATGACAGCGATTGTAATGTTTACTCCAAATTATCCCAATTTTATCCATAAAGAAGTTATTAAGTGAGTTGACTAAGTACCACTCAAATTACTTATAAAATTTTAATATATTTATTACAGACAACAACAAATGGTTTATATGTTTATACTACTAAGATATCTGCAATTGAGATATGGATGTGAAGCGGACTCCAAGTTTGCAAGACTTATGAAACTTAAAGGTTATGCAGATATTCTTCATAAGAAAGTTGTGCTAAAACTTTTGGACGCATTACCACCCGATACCAGTCCACTTTTAAATGAGATATTTGATAGGGCATAGAAACATCCTATTTATTAGTTACTCACTATATTTATTAATAATAGTAAATTATTACATATAATTAAATGACAGAATATATGTATAATATTTCCAACATTACTAGACCTATTTATTTTTATTATATTCAAGTGCTATTGTATTTTAGAATTAATTTCATTCATATGGATTTATTTCTGAAAATATAATTTATTCCGTTATAAATAAAAATTATTAAATTTAATTAAACATTGAATTATTAAATTATTTGCTTGGGAATTTGTATAAAACTAAATAATGTAAATTACACGGCATAGGAATATTAATATACGAATGAATTGCATAGGAATTATTTATATTATCGTTCAGGTATGTTAATAAGTTTACAAATTAGAAGGTAATAAATACATTATTTATATATTATGTAATTAGTTATAGTAAATTGTTATTAGCTCAGTAAATGCAAATATATTTATAAATATTAAAATTTAGATAAACAGTATAACATTATTAATTAAGTCATACGCTATTGTAGCAAATAATTACCAGTTGTCATCAATTACCAAACATCAGTATAAAATTGTGGTTTGGGTTAGCCTTGAGATAAGATATTATAACTTTTGGTTTTAAATCAAATTTTGGCCAATAGTTCACACAGCATTAATCTCTTGTTTATATACGATTGTGTCACAAATTAATACCAAGTGCAATTATTACCAAGTATAATATTATTAAATTACATTTTAATCTCAATATTTGTCGTTGAAAAACATTTTAGTTTAATAAATTAAATATTAAATAAACAATATAAACAATTCATAAATGGACAAAGCAAAATATATCTGTGGTGTTTGTGGTGACAAAGCCCTCGGTATGTATTTATAGCCAGATTATTTTAATAGTAACTTATTTTAAATAAATATTTTGTGATTTATTTTAAAGGGAGAAATTTTTGTGCCTTTTCTTGCGAGTCGTGTAAAGCATTCTTTAGGAGAAATGCCTTCGAGTATCGAGTAATCCATAATTTTTATATAAAATATATTTATTACAAATAAAACTTAAATTCATTTATTTGTACAGAAAATGAAGTGTTATTACGGAGACAATTGTTTAATAGATATTAAATCGAGAATTATATGTCGCAAATGCAGACTTGCAAAGTGTTTCGCCATTGGCATGAGAAAAGTAATGATAATTAATATAGTTTTATAATTAATAGTAAGTTTATGTCTTCATAGGAATGGATACTGAATGGCGAGCAAAAGGAGAGTAGAAGACGTCAAATACAAGACAAGAAACAACAAAAAGATGTCAATAAAATAGTTGACAAAAATCATGACAACTCTTCATCATTGCAACCAATGGTGACCACAGATAATGAAGAGTCGGATAATTTGTTTGAGATTTTAGAAAACATTGACATAAATGAAGACAAACTTAACTCTCAGATAAAGGAAATTGAAAATAGTTTGTCAAACAATACCAACATTTGTGATGATTCTACAGAAATACCAGTGATTCCTATCGTGAGGCCAATTAATAACAACTCATTCAATGAGACGGAAAGTATGAAGTTTACGGAGTTAATCAGTGTAATCGATACCATGAGGTTACCCACACTGGAACTCATATCGCAAGTACGAGATATATTAGATGCCATCACATTAGCGGTCAATAAATTTGATGAAATATTTCGAAAGTCGGTCAAAGCATTCAAAAGACTGAATGCCTTTAAAAATATATGCAAAAGTGACCAGGTCCTACTTCTCAAATACAATGGCATTCAAGTGACATGCCTGCGCTCAATGACTATTTATGATTTTAAATTGAAGCAATGGGCTGTTCCTATAGTATGTTTTAATATTAAAGTTTGTTTAATTAAATAAATATATTTGTATTAAACAGGATCATTCAAGTGACATGCCTGCGCTCAATGACTATTTATGATTTTAAATTGAAGCAATGGGCTGTTCCTATAGTATGTTTTAATATTAAAGTTTGTTTAATTAAATAAATATATTTGTATTAAACAGGACGATAACAATTCAACTCTAGTGCATATGAAGGTATTTAAAGGTATTAACCAAGACACTTACTATCTAATTAAAATGTTATGCGAAATGGGAATGGAATTGGACTCGGATGAGATATTCATTGATTTGGTATTCAATAAAATCTATTAATTTTTGTTTATAAATATTATAATTGTGCAGATGACAGCAATTATACTGTTTACTCCAGATCATCCAAATCTAATCCATAGAGAAGTTATAAAGTAATTGCAACGTTGATTCACTATATTTGATTAAATGTTGAATATATTTATTATAGACACCAACAAAAGGTTTACATGTTTTTACTTCTAAGATATCTGCGAATGAGATATGGATGTGAAGCGGAGTCTAAATTTGCAAGGATTATGAAAATAAAACATTATTCAAGTAATCTTAATAAAAAAGTAGTCTTAAAATTTCTGGATGAATTACCGTATGATATAAGTCCACTTTTAAACCAAATGTTAGATAGAGGTTAGCAAATAATTTACTTAAAATAATTCTTTATAAATACATTTACATAATATTGTTATAAATGACAATTTTATAATAAATATTAATGATATAAAATACAAATTAGAATAAATTTAATTGTATTATTGGATTTGATTCTTAATATTATAAACAGGAATTAAAGTTTGAATGAAATGTACCCATAACTTTTAATAAACAAAACCTGTTTTTGATAACTACTTGTGATAAGATATTACTGTGTAAATCTTAACTTCA